TCAGAAAAAAAAATCTGCACCAAATTAAAGATTAACAATAATTGCAGTAAAACACAGATAAAAGCTCAATAATTACATAAAAAATTGAAAACACTAAAAATCACCAAAAGATATATAAATATAAAAATTACAGAAAATATATTTCATTTACTTGTTGTCACTGAGCGGCGCACCCGAAATGATCAGTGTTTGAAAATACCATGGTTAATAATAAATTTCTTGGATCTCTCTGTCTTGACCTTTGGGAGTGGTAGCCGATATGTTTTCCTGAAATTATAATTGATAGCACGTTCTTTCGGCAAAAGATGGTGTAGTCTGTGTGTGGACGTTTAATTTTTCTAAAGTATTGTTGGCATAATCGAGTGCGGCGTTCAGCGAGATCTGGGAAACCAGAGATTACAAGGCCCCGATTATAACTAACACAGGGGAGAATAATGCGAAGCACTCTTCGTTGAATTTGTTCTAGGGCTTTTGACTGAGCACCAGATATACCCAAACAGCTACAGCATACTCCATGACAAGGCGAATAATACTAACGTAAAATTGGGCAAGTCTTGAATAGAATGGGCCCCAGCCAAGAGCCTTGCCTTGCCTTGCCTCAGTTTACATTCACCTACGAGGACGGAGCATTACTAAGTTTTATACATTGTTTCCTCTGACAAAGAAAACAATGGACATATCTAACAATATGGTCATCAACCCAAAGATCAACTTTTGCACTAAGATCTCGAGATCAATCAGGTCATAAGCCTTCCGGAAATCAATTAATAATGATGTGATCTCTTCACCTTTATCGATAGCTGTAAAACATTCATGTAATTATGTATATGCATAGGTAATTTTTTTTTTCTAAATTTACTAAAAAAAATGGGAGAAAAGGGAAATTACATTTAAACTTTTATGAAAGTGCTTAGTTTATTTTGTCATTCTGATCGGATTTTCTCTACTGTTCCGTTTTAATTTTAAATAGTTTTGCATTATGTGGCCGTTTGCTGTTTTATGGGTTTTCCCATTTGCCTTTTAAAATTTATATATTATTAAAGAATCTCTATTGAGATCCAGCGGCCGCCACTGATGCACGGTAGAGATTACATCTTAGATCTCCGATCTTGTTCACAAATTCACGGATTACCGGGAGAAGAGGGGTGTCAGGCCTGCTGATGCAATTTGCCAAATGCAACGATGATGTACAAATGAATAACAATTAATTTTAAACAGAGGTATTTTAATTTATATAGCAAGGCTTGATCCACGATATCAAGGGCGGATGCCCTAGCTAGCGGCACTAGATAATGTGTTTTCTCCTACCCGAAATCCACCCTGACAAGGCTAGGCTAGCCTAGGCCTAAGCCTAGGCTCTTTTTTCACTATCCCCTGATTTACGAGAACTAAAACGTATTGAGAAAGTATGTTTACACAACGTCATTCAAATCGTGAACAAATAGTTAAAGAACTAATCAAACAATAACATAAAAAATAAACTGCTTTATTCAAACAAATGTTTGCCAAAGAGTATAAGAATAAATGTAATATGATACTTTTGTGTATTATTCAGTCATAATATAATAATGGAAAAGCAAAAAAAAAATATTCTGTTAAGTCCCTACATTTTATTGTTATGTTTACACAACGTCATTCAAATCGTGAACAAATAGTTAAAGAACTAATCAAACAATAACATGCGTGATGACATTACACTTGCTTTAAAAATATCTTTCAAAAGTGATTTTATAGAGCATAGAACCAGAGTACGGACTATATTTATTATATACATAAATGAGGAAAATAATCTTGAATTTAAAAGATATGAAGCAGTTCATGTCTTGAAATTCATCATAACATTTGGGATACAATAATCAGTACAAGGATGCTTCAGCTTTAAAAAGGTATAACCAATTTTCCCCGGGGTATCACCAATTATCCACCGGGGTTATCCACTTATAGAAAATTTCTGTTCCGCAACCATTTTCCAGCAACCGTAGAAAATGTCATCGCAATAGCTCAATGAGAACTGTGTTGTTGCTATGGAGTTCCTTTGACTCCTGCTGTGATTTTTCGTATTTGTTTAGTACTTTTAAAGCCTATTTTCTCAGAACTAGGCCAGTCTATAGAGAATAATTATAATTCAAAATTGCCTAACTTTACTTATAATTATCCGACTGAGATCACTGAGCCCTCATTATAAAGTTAATGATGTGCTCTATTCATTTGCATTAAAAACCATTTTGATAAAGTACGAGTTTACAGCCCTTTTGTGGTCTTTTGGTCACAATACAGGGAAATGGCGAACAGCCGTCGACAATCGTATTGGGTATAAAATCA